TCAAAAAAAAAAAAAAAAAGACAGTCATGGCCTTGGACTTCATTCATTCAATCATTCAAGCACCTGTTCAACATTCACCAATCTCCCCCTAAGCCAGGTCTGGCCAGTCCTGAGGAGGACTGCCCTGGAGGAGCTTATGGTTCATGCACTGTCATTCTTAACTTTGTTTGGGGCACTGACACCTTGGGGAGCCTCATGAAAACTGTAGACACAATTTCAGGGGATTTGGGGGCTAGTGAATCCCAGGTCAAGGAAACCTGCCCTGATCAAAGCCCATCCACGTGCAGGGACCTGCTCCCTGCCTGCACAGAGCAGCTCTGATGCTGATTGTTGGGTGGACAGGTGGATGGATGGACAATGGATAGAGGAGCTGACAAGGGGTGAGGTGAAGGTACTCCTAGGACCCAAAAGCTCAGAAAGTCAGGCTCCTGACCTTTTGACTGAGCCCTAGAGACTGAGGCAGGACGGCCTCTGCCTCTGATCACCTCTAAAAGCATGCCACAGAATGAAGGCAGCCTACAGGCCATCCCAAGGTCTAGTTGCCTGCAGGCCAGAAGCTGAGACAGTTGGGCACCGCATTATCCCTGGCACCTACCATAATCCACCACTGAAATCTTCAAATAGCCCCACGTGGGTGATGTTACCATTGAATTCATTTTGCAGATGGGAAAACCATGGCTCAGAGAGTAGAAGACCCTAGCCCAAAGTCGCCTGAGGACAAGTGGCAGAGCAGTGTCCGAAACCCAGGGCTGGGCGGCTCCGGAACTACATCTGTGCCAGGCCTGTCTGCTGAGCCAGCCTAAGGTTTCTTTCCTCTGCCTGAAGTGTGGCTGAGGTTTGACAGACAAAGCTCTGTGTCAGCAAGAAAGTCCCTGTCATGCCCGCTCCCAGAGCCCATCGGGAGGCACCTTGCCCCAAGCAGGCCAGAGCCATCGCATCACACAGCATAGTGTTAAGGTACCTCGGCTGGCGAGGCAGGAGGGCTGGCTAGCCAGAGAGACCAGCATCTCCCCCTGTGTCTCTGGCACCCCAGCCCTATGGGCACCCTCCTCCCACCTGATCCTCTCCCTGGTGGGAAGGCAGAAGGCACAGAGGGGCAGGGGCTTAAGGAAACTTCAGGGGGTCCCCTAGAGGTGGGGGGATGGCAGGCAACGGAGCTTGGAAATGAAACAGGGCACTCAGCAGAGGAGAATTAGTCTTCAGAGACCACCTTAAAGATGAAGTACTGTTCGCTTTTATAGGCTGTCATTTTACGTGCCTCGCAAAGAAATCTGCCCGAGATAATAAGGGGGGCTTTGGGCGGCAGCAGTTGTGGGTGCGCCTCAGGGCTGAGCTCAGCAGCCAGCCCTTGGCCAGCACAGCACTGCACACCCTGGGGGCACAGGAGGGGGAGATGCACACAGAGCCCCCAGATCCTGAGAGCAAGGGCATCCCAGCAGGAGAAAGGAGCCTAGGCCAAAAGATGCAGGTTCAAGGCCCACTTCTGCCATAACCACCTGTGTGAACGCCTAGCTGGAGGGATGGGGCTTTGTCCCCCGCATGACCCAACCATCATCCATGCCAGCCCAGGGACAGGAGACTTAGTTATAAGGTGACCTCTGTCCCTAAGTCTCCATAGGAGACTTAGTTATAAGGTGACCTCTGTCCAGGTTATCTCCTCTGGGGCCTAAACCTCAAGAGGTCTAGAGGAGGAAAGGGGGGATCAGGAAGGAGGGATTCAGTGCCAAGGTGCTCAGTGAAGCCGTCCTGCCCAGCCTCATGCTCCTTTCCTCCTTGTGTTCTAAGGGAACTACCGGCAGCGGTCCCCTGGGTATGCTGAGACCACGCTACTCAGATAAAAGCAGCAGAAGAAAGTCTCCCTCACAGGGAGCCAGGAGAGGTCAGATACAGGTGTGAGCCCCTCCCGCCCCACCCCATCTCCTGGGAACACCCCAGACGGAGGTAGGGTGGCTGTTTAAAAACTATTGTGGGAATTTGCATTGGGAAAACTAAGGGTTAGGTGGTATGCACTCTGGACCCAGCAGGGGCTGGCTCATAGGGCTAAGAGCTTTGTGGGTTGGCGGATGCCAGGCTCTGCCCAGCCCAGACTCCCAGGGAATTGCTCCTGTGTCTCTCCCCATTCCCCATCTGCACCTGGCTGGACCATGCCTCCCTACCTGGGCTGAGCTCTGAGCCCCTAGCAGAGGGAGAGTCCCTGAGACACCCTGGGCATGAGGGGCTGGCGGGCTCACAATTCTGGGGTCCTAAAGACTTAGGAAGAGGCTCTGCAGGCTTGCTCTGTGTGACCTGAGCAAGAGCCCTTGTCCTGCTGTGGCCTCTTCAACAAAACCTCAGGGCAGTGGGACAGTCCTGGGAGGAGAGCCTAAAGGTGTCCAGAAAGACAAGGGGACAAGAGCACTCAGCTCTGGGTCCATGCCAGGATCTCTGGATGTCTCCTGTAAGGGTCTTGCCACTTCCCCCCACCAGAGCTCCTAGCCTCCCAGATGGCCCACCTAGGGCTCAGGCCCACTGTGGCCCAAACAAGGCTTTCTCTACCCCCGACCTGAGCCCTCTTGAGTTTTTTACCCTGGGTGTGGCACCAGCCCCACCAGCCGCCCCCTCCCCCTCCCAGACTCGCCTCCTTAACTCCCACAGTCAGCAAGGGATACCTGGCCCTGTCCACTCCACCCCTCAGCCCCTTTGCCCTCTGTCCCCACACCCCCAGCTCCTGTCCTGATCAAGGCCCTGCATCTGTCTCTAGTCACTGTGGCCACCCCCACCTGGCAGCCAAGCAGGAAAGGACATTGTCCTGCTTAGAGCCTTCAGGGGCACCAAGCCTCAGGGCACAGGCTCAGCACTGTTCCCTCTCCAGCCCCCACAGCTGCCTCTTTCTCAGCCTTAGCCTCATCTTCTCCATCTCTGTGTCCCACCTCTGGCTGAGCCAGAGCCTTTTCCAGACTTTTAGCCCCCGACCTCCCAGGTCACAGTCACACCATTGGGCTAAACAGTGCAGGGGATGAGGGGCTCGGAAACCCCAAGCCTAGCACAGTAACGTCAACCCAAACCCCAGGGAGTAAGAAGAAAGAGGCATGGTCTTTCTCTTTGTGCGGCCACTGTGCTTTGTAATCATGCCTAGCTTGTGAGTTTGCCCACCCCCCACCGCCCTGTAAGACGCTAAGCTCCCTGAGGCACAGACCATTCCTACAAGGCTGTTGTGTCCCTTAGCACGAAGTAGGGACTCTATAAAATTTAAAATAGTCACTGAATAAATTTAATACAGCAGGGATTTAGGTTAGACATTAGGAAGAACTTCCCAAACAGGGTTTTGTTTGTTTGTTTTGCTTTGTTTGTTTCTTTTTTTCTAGGATGTTTTTAGAAAATTTGAAAACATCAGGAGATACTGCTTTAGAAAGGTCAGAGGTTGACCTCCCTGTAGGGTAGGGACCCAACCAGAGATGGTTATAGGGTTCCTTCCTGCCCCACACTCCAGGACTACAAAGAGCATATCTATTTCTAGATCCTTTCATCTGAGCCACTCCAAACTCTTGGCAAATCCCATTTCACCTGCCCCAAGGGCATGAGAGAG